CAGACTACCCCTACGACCGCCGACCCGCGTGGATGTCCGCGAACACCCCCCGGCGGAGGAGGGGCGCGCAGCGGCGGCGCGTACGCCTCGGTCGGGAACGGTGCTCCCCGTTGGCCCGCCTCCCTCTCCCGGCCCTTTCCCCCTCCCTGCCCCGCCCTCTCCCCCTATCCGCCCCGCCCTCTCCCCCTTTCCGCCCTGAGAGGGTCTCCAGCCGCCGCCTCTTTCCCACCGCGGCCTTTTTCCCACGGCCGCCTCACGCCCCCCCCCCTCCTGCCCCCAGGCCCGCCCGGCCTCGAGGAGCATTCTGCCGGGTACGACAGCGCCGACGCGGGAGCGGGCGCGAGCGCGGAGGACGACGCGACGCAGGAGCAGGCGCGGAGGGAGTGGCTGCAGTACTACCTGCAGACGTCGGCGTGGGAGCAGGCCGAGGAGCTCGTCGTCACCGCGGATGAGCGCGAGGACCTGGAGTACCTGCGCGACCGCGAGCGGCGGCTCGGGCCCACGGGGGGGGGGGGCTCCTCGTACGGCCGCGAGGGGCAGCTGCTCGACGGCGAGCTGCTCGAGTGAAGCTGCTCGAGTGAGGGGGCGAGGCGAGGAGCCCTGCCTGAAAGGGGAGAGGCCCGCCTCTCTCGGCCGCCTCTCTCGGGCAGGGGGGGGGCGTCTCTAGCCGCCGCCGCCCGCCGCTCGCCCATGCTGGGGGGGGGGCGGCTCGGGGCCCCGCGGGAGGCGCTCCCTGCCGCTCCGTGCCGCTCCCGAGGCGCGGTGCTGCGCTGGCGTGCGCAGGCCTCGCCTCGCGGGCGCCGCTTCGGGGCCTTGTGCGAGTACCTGCCGCTCCGGGAGGAGAGGGCTCTGGCTCAGATGTGTCCTTACTGCTGCGGAGGGGTGCGACCACATACCAGGCGTCCCGCGTGTGTCTTATGGCTAGGAGGGGGGGGCGGGGGGGGGGCGGGGGGGGGGGGCCTTTAAACTTATTGTGGCTGCCCGTCGTCCGCGCACCGTGCTATATATCCTGCTGCACTCGGGCTCCCATGCGGTTTTTTGTTGCACTGTGACTGTCGTCGTCGGTATGTTAAAATGCCGCTTTAAAGCAAAAGAAGAACCGCCAGCTACAGTACGTGGAAGACGGCTACGGGCTAGTGCTAGTCCCCCATCGGGAGGACGCGACCCCCCGGCGGCTTCCGGCTAGGACGTAGAAGGAGTCGCCGACACCCCCACACCCACAAAAAGAACCCTGGCTCTGCACACAATCACAAAGATCGCACGGGCGGGGACCTGTTCCTTTTTTTACCCATCTCACAGTAGAGGTGTCCGTTTTATTTATTTATTACTTTGTTTATTTATTTACAATAGAAGAATCGGTCTCTTCGCTGGCGAGCATACTGCATACCGTAGAGCATGGGATGCAGCATGCCGGCGAGACAAGAAACAAACAAAAAACGACAAAATTCTCCCTTTCCTGTTTCCTCGCGCCCTCGAGCCGGTCCAACGGAAACATCTCAATAAAAAAGAAAGAAAGAAAACATACAACCCAAGGGAGGGATGGGAGGACGCTCAAAGAAAGAAAGAAAGAAAACAGACAACCCAAGGGAGGGATGGGAGGACGGCACGCCGCCACCACACAGGGATTTTAAGGAGAGGTGTGTGGTGCGCTAGCCGTCGCCCACCCTAGGGAGTCTGCCTCTTCCTATCTCTCTTCGCAGTCTCTCGCCGCTTCTCGCTGCAACCTTCATGCCACCGCTCAATAGAAAGAAAGAAAACAGACAACCCAAGGGAGGGATGGGAAGACGGCACGCCGCCACCACACAGGGATTTTAAGGAGAGAGGAGTGTGATGCGCTAGCCGTCGCCCACCCTAGGGAGTCTGCCTCTTCCTATCTCTTTTCGCAGTCTCTCGCCGATAAAGAAAGAAAGAAAGAAAGAAAACAGACAACCCAAGGGAGGGATGGGAGGACGGCACGCCGCCACCACACAGGGATTTTAAGGAGAGGTGTGTGGTGCGCTAGCCGTCGCCCACCCTAGGGAGTCTGCCTCTTCCTATCTCTCTTCGCAGTCTCTCTCCGATTCTCGCTGCAACCTTCATCACATGCCACCTCGCGGTCGTCCCATTCTCGTCGTTCTCTCCCTTGTCATTTCCTCCTCTGTCGCGTCGTTCCCTTCTGCCTCGTCCTGTGACGCCGCCGCCTGCCGGTCCCTTGTTCTCGCGGCTTCTTTCGCCTTTCGGCGCAACTCTGTCCTCCTCGCGGCGTATCCTGGCCCCTCGAGTCTATCGAGCTCCCCTCGCGCAAGGACCACGTTTCTGACTCCCACTCCGATCATTTGCCTGCAGGTCATGTTGTTGCTCAGGTCCACTCTCTCTTCGAACACTCGTGCCTCTACGGATGATGCCGGCGCTGGGGTCCCCTTCGGATGCATCGTGACATCTGACAACTGGATTTCCACTGGTTCGTCCTCCTCGGAGTCATCTTCCCCGTCCTCCTTCCGCTCGGCTCTTCGCTCGGTACGTTCGGTGTGGCTCACCCTCCATGCCGTGAACAGGCGCTTTATCCACCCTATATTCTTCTCTCGTTCCTCTGCCCGTGCCTTGGTCTTGTCGTTGTTTCGCACCCATGTCTGTATGGCAATCGAGGCTGCCTTCCCCACTACCTGTAGTTCACTCGTCACCTCTCCCGCGAGCTCCCTTCTCTTTCTTTCGGGTATTGTTTGGAGTCCGTGGAGTGCGGGTAGCGTGCAGGCAATCACGGGCGCTATTTTGTCGTACTCCTCTTCGGCGAGCGCTCCAAATCTAGACCCTTTCGCCTTTAAGGAGGCTGCCCTCGCTCGTCTCAGGAATGTGGCGGTGTCTTTTGAGTCCGGCGCCTCCCGTTCAACTCTTGCTGTCGACCTCGCTGTGTGTTTGTCGAGCTTCCGCATGAAGTGACGTGCCTCTTCCTTATTTCCAGCGCAGCTGCCGCTCAGTATGTGCGCCAACGACGCCTGTGGTGGCTCACTGTCTTCTTGTTTCTCTCGCCGATAGAACCACGGCAACCCGCTGCAAGAATTCTTTTTGTGAAGGCCAGCAAGGCCGGCGCCGGGGCTGGGCCGAGCCGCCTCCTGTGTTCCCCGACAGCAGAATGCCGAAGAAGGAGCCGGTCGCCGAGATCTTCGAGAGTGTCTCGGACGGTCTCAAGCAGCTGTATCGCTCCAAAATCCGGCCGATCGAGGAGGCGTACAAATTTGGCGAGTTCTACTCGCCGTATATGAACGACTCGGACTTTGACGCCAAGCCGATGGTGCTGCTCCTCGGTCAGTACTCGGTGGGCAAGACCTCCTTCATCAAGTACCTGCTCGGCCGCGACTTTCCCGGCGCGCACATCGGGCCCGAGCCCACCACCGACCGCTTCATCGCCGTGATGCACGGCCAGGAGGACAAGACGACGCCCGGAAACGCGCTGGCCGTCTCGGCCAACATGCCGTTTCGCGGGCTCGAGATGTTTGGCAACGGCTTCCTCTCAAAGTTCCAGGGCGCCCAGCTCGACTCGCCGCTCCTTCACCACGTGACCCTCATCGACACGCCCGGCGTACTGTCGGGCGAGAAGCAGCGCATTGGTCTGCGCCGCAGCCCGCCCTCCGGCGCGGCGGCGGCGAGGCGCTCTGAGGTCTGTGCGGTTGCGCGGTAGGGCGGACGTACTCCTTCACCGAGGTGTGCGCCTGGTTCGCCTCGCGCGCCGACGTGATTCTCCTCCTCTTTGACGCGCGAGCCGCGGCCTCGCTGAGCCGCAAGGGGGCGGGCAGCGGTGCGCTCATCCCGCGCGAGTGCTGCGTAGGCGCACAAGCTGGACATCTCGGACGAGTTCAAGGAGGCGATCGAGGCGCTCAAGGGGCGAGCGGCGGCTCGCGGAGGCCGGCAGGGTGGCGTGGGAGGGCGGCTGAGAGGCAACACCGTGCTGCGCTTTTAGGCACGACGACACACGATCCTTGTTGTGTTATTACGATCAGACTGCATTATGGTGGGTCATCATATTAGGCACGACGACAAGATCCGCGTCGTGCTCAACAAGGCGGACGCCGTCGACAGCCAGAAGTTGCTGCGCATCTACGGTGCGCATCATGCTACTAGCCATTGTATGGTGGTATACCATCTACGGTTTCCGTCCGGTAGATGTGGATCTACGGTGCGGTAGATGTAGATCTACGGTGCGCATCGCCATCCGCGCCGCGCCCGCGACGCGTCCGCGGCTCTGTTCGGCAGGCGCGCTGATGTGGTCTCTGGGCAAGGTCATCAAGACGCCCGAGTGCATGCGCGTCTACATCGGCTCCTTCTGGGACCAGCCGCTGCGCGGGTCGGAGTGGTCTCGCCAGCTCTTCGAGATGGAGATGCGCGACCTGCTCACCGACCTCAAGAACGTGCCAAAGAACGCGGCCGTCCGCAAGGTCAACGAGCTCGTCAAGCGCGTGCGGCTCGCTAAGGCGATACCACCCCCGCGGGGCCGCCCTCCACAGCCTCTCCCACCCCCGCGGGGCCCCCCTCCACAGCCTCTCCCACCCCCGCGGAGTCGTCCAGAACGTGTGCCCGCCGTGTGCCCGCCGTGCCCGCCGTGTGCCCGCCCCGCAGGCGCACGCGTACATCGTGGGCCACCTCAAGAAGGAGATGCCCTCCTACTTCGGGGCGCAAAAGGCGCAGGCGAAGCTGCTCGCGAACATCGAGGAGCACTTCCTCAAGGTGCAGTGGGAGGAGTCCTCCGTCGCCACTCCTCACTGAAGTAAAGACGGAGAGCACCGCCTGCAGGTGCACCGCGCACACTCCCTCCCTGTGGGAGACTTCCCCGACGTCGCCAAGTTCAGGGCGGTCATGGAGGGGCACGACCTCACCAAGTTCCCAAAGCTCGACACCAAGGCTCACCCCACCCTCACCCTCACCCTCACCCTCACCCTGGCCCAGCCCTGTCCCCCAGCCCTGTCCCCGCCCCCCCCAAGCCCTCTCCCCGCCCCCCCCCCCCCCCCAAGCCCTCTCCCCGCCCCCCCCAAGCCCTCTCCCCGGCCCGCCCAGGCAATCGCGGCGATGGAGCACGTCCTCGCGCACGAGATCCCCAAGCTGATGGCGCAGTTCCCGCAGGAGCCGGCCGCCCATCGCTAGTGAGTGGCCCCTCGACACGCCTGGCTTGAGCCGTCCTCTGCTCGTGCAGGAGGGCACTGTCTCGCACTCCAACTCCGCGGTCGGGAGCGCGCTGACCCACGTCGAGGCCGCACACCCCCCCTCCCCCTCCCTCCCCTCCCTCCCCTCCCCTCCCTCCCCTCCCTCCCCTCCTCCCTCCCCCCCTCCCCTCCCTCCCCTCCTCCCTGCTCTCCTCCCGCCCCCAGACCCGTCAGGCCACCCTCGAGCCCGCACCGCTCCCTCCCCGCACCGCAGGCGCACGTGCGATCGACGACGCCGCCGCCGCAGCAGATCGCATACGCGCCGCCGCCACCGCAGCAGCAGCAGCCGCCGCCGCCGCCGCCGCAAAGCTCCTCGGAGCAGGTTGGCGCCACGGGCAGCAGCCCGTGCACCGCCGCTCTTCACAGCCGTACCCGCGAGCAGGTGGGCAGCAACCCGTACGGCGCCGCGCCCCCGCCCGCCGTCGCGTGGAGCGTGTCTCCCGAGGACAAGGCGCGGTACGACGAGGTCTTCGGCTAACTAATTAATTAACTCATTAATGTTAATTAATGTTTGATTAGGCGCGGTACGACGAGGTCTTCGGCACGCTCGCTCCGGCCGGCGGCAAGGCGAGCGGGCAGACGGCGCGCGGAGCCACCCTCCCCCCTCTCCCCTCCTTCCGCCGGAGCAGCCCCCCGCCCCGAGGCTGCGAGGGAGCCGCTGTAGGTGCGGCCGATCCTCGAGCGGTCGCAGCTGCCGGTCGACGTGCTGCGGCAGGCACCGAGATCGGGCCGAGATATGGCCGAGATGTTGCAGCAGGTGGATGTGTTGCGGCTGGCACTCAATGCTTCGCCCACAGTTCCGCCTACACCTCGGCCACATCTCGGCCACATCGGATCATCTCGGCTTCCTCTCGGCTGCACCGCGGCTGTCCTCGGCTGCCCCTCGGGAGTGTGTGCCCCACGCTGGGCGGCGGTGCGGCAGGTGTGGAACCTCTCCGACATCGACCGCGACGGCGCGCTCGACGCCGACGAGTTCGCCGTCGCGATGCACCTCACACGAGAGTGCACCGCCGGCCGCTCGCTGCCCGCGACGCTGCCTGCCGATGTCTGCCCGCCCTCCAAGCGCCATCTGCTCCCCTCGTGAGGCCCGCGCTGCACGCGCCATTTGCTCCCCTCGCGGGGCCGGTGGCGCCGCAGGGTGGGGGCAGCAAAACTACGGTAGACGTGCGCACGCTTGCGATGGGGGAGGGCCCGAGGTATAGTGCGGCGACGCGGGGAGGGCCCGAGGTATAGTGCGGCGACGCGGGGAGGGCAGGAGAGAGTCTACCTATTGGGTTGCCACACGCTGCTCGACGTGCGCGCGCTCGGATGACCCGCGCCGGAGCTGCCGCGGTGTCCTCGGATCGTTGTCACACGTGTGTGGCACATTTGCAAACCGGGCTTGTGTTCATTACAGGTTTACACCAGCGAAAATCTATAAACATGAAGAATTGAGGATTCTCGCGCGAAAATTCCGCGCCATCCGCCATCGTTGATGCGCATGCGATGTGAACTCCGCAACTCCCCACACCCGCGCTGCGTGTCAGACTCCTTCCTCTCTGTGGCGCATGCAGAAGGCCTCCATGCGATCGAAGGCGTCGGCCAGCTTCTCGCGCGGTCCACTGAAGACGATGCGGAAGAAGTGGGGCGCGCCAAAGCACGCGCCCGGCAGCACGAAGACCGCCTCCTCGGCGAGCAGCCTCTCGACAAACTCGGCGTCCGTCCGGATGCCGGGTAGCACGGCGGGGTCATAGTGGACCATAACATACATCGCACCCTGCGGCTCGACCGGCGTGAGGCCGACGACGCCCTTGAGCCGCTCGTAGGTGAAGCGGGCGTTGTCCTGTAGCGTGGTCATGTAGTGCTGGTCCGACGCAGCGAGCGACGCGGCGTCCGCGCTGCCGGCCTCCGGGCAGAGCACGCGCGGCACGGCCCCCTGCACGAGGGTGCTCGCGCCCACGATGAGCTGCGTGAGGCGATTGAAGCCCTCGCGGAGGTCGTCGAGCGCGTGGACAGGGTCGTGGAGCATGAGCCAGCCGACGCGCCAGCCGGGCACGAGGAACTGCTTGGCGAGGCCGCCGACGGTGATGACGGGCACATGGGGCGCGAGCTCGGCCAGCGGGTGGAAGGCGACCCCCTCGAAGGCCATCTCGCCGTAAATCTCGTCGGCGATGATGGGCAGCTTGTGGCGCGCGGCAATGTCGATGAAGCCGAGCAGGTGCTCCTTGGGGAAGACGGAGCCGCACGGGTTGGACGGGTTGTTGACGATCAGGGCCTTGGTGCGCGCGTCGACAAGGCTCTCGAGCTGCGCGAGGTCCGCCTGCCACCCCTGGCTCGGCAGCAGGTCGTACTCCTTGACGCTGGCACCCTGCGACTCGGCGAGGACTTGGTAGAGCGGGAAGCCCGGCTTCGGCACCAGCAGGTTGTCGCCCTCGTCCACGATGCCGTTGATCGCAATCTCGAGCGCTCCCGAGCAGCCGCTCGCGACGATGATGTCCGAGGCCTTGTAGATGCAGTGCGGCGTCGAGAAGCGCTTGGCGACGGCTGCGCGCGCGTCCTCGGCGCCCGCGGAGTTGCCGTATCCGTTGTGCTTCGCCCCGCGGACGAGCGAGACCATCGTCTCACTGAGCACCTCCGGCGCCTGGAGGTTGCCAAATGCGGTGGGATCACCGAGCGAGAGTGGGATCATCGGCTTTCCCTCGATCGGCTCGCGCTTCTGCGAGGTGATCTTCTCCATGATGGCGCGGATCGGATTCGCAGTTCTTTGCGCCTTGACAGACATGGCCACGTGCCACGTCTTGGCGTCGCCGATGGCGCAGGTCGAGGCGGCGCCGGTCTCGGTTTTGTTCCGCTTCGCGGGTGAGGTAGGCAAGAGAGGAACGCCCATGGAAGGGTGAAGGCTGTCGCGGCAGGTCCGAGAAGTTAAGTAAACGTTTGCAAGCCCCCAAGATAATCACGGGTCGCAGGTACCACCCCTCTCCCTCTCTCGTATCTCTCTTAAGCTAAAAGCCCAAACTTGAGCCTGGCCCGCCGTTCCCTTAATCAACATGTCGCCGTCCCCCCAAACCGATTGGAGGACTGATGATAAGGATGACTAACTTTCGGAGGCTCCTTCGTTCCATCGCCAGCCCGATCCAGCAAGGGCATGATCTCAGCCACTCTCCTGGCGTTCGCGCCGTGCGCGCTGCTGCCTGCGCCTCGTGTCAGCCCGGGAGCGGTGCGTGGGCGCGCGGTCGGCGCCTCCGCCGTCCACTCTCCCCTCGCCGCAAAGGCTCTCGATCACGTGTCATCTCATCCTGTGGTCGAGCACAATCCCTACTGCGATTGGTTCTCGAAGGCACCGCATAGACGCCCGGAGATCTCCCGGCAAAGAGCTAGATGCACCGCACTTTCCACCCACCCAACCCCCATCGCCGCAAAATCCGCCGACACGCGGCCGTGGCCCGCTTTAGGGCGAGGCGACAGAAGAGCAGGTCAAGGATCTCGTTGTGCAGTTCTCCGTCTTTTCCAACCTCTTCCTCCTCGCCCAACTGAACAAGGTCATCAACTCGCCCACGCTGGAGGGCGCACGCGAGGGCAAGGAGATTCTGGCCAACGAGATTGGGGTGGTCTTCAAGCCGCAGGAGAAGAAGACGGCCGAGCTGGCGCGCGAGGCGGCCGAGAAAGGGTTCGATCCGAACGTCGTCTCTGTCACCGGCTCCGTCGAGGGCGGCGTCTTCTCGCACCGCGCTGCGCACTTCGAGTGGCTCTGCGACGTCGGCAAGGACATGGGGCTGACCTTTGACGAGCTGGGCAAGCGGCGCCACGGGTCGGAGGCGACGCTGCACTTTTGCGATGCGCTGTATCGCATTTACGGCAGCGAGGACCTATCCACCGCGCTCGGTGCCTCCTTTGCGATCGAGCACTGGGCCAACGCCGGCTTCTGGGACGAGCTCATCGAGGGATTCGAGAAGCTGAACGGAAAGCGGCCTTCTGGGGCCAAGAAGTTTCGGATGGGCTTCTGGCGCTTCCACCAGGCGCTCGAGGCGCAGCACGCTGCGCACACCATGGACGAGCTCGAGGAGGCCATCACCGAGGGGCTGATCACGGACGAGCTACGCTTCCAGCAGGCGGCGCGCGAGATGCTGGACGCGTGCGCCATCTTCTGGGAGGGCCTGGACGCGAGCCGCCAGGGTCGCCCGTACTCGGTGACCACACTCAAGGCGCGCTAGGGTGCTCTGGCTGGCCTCTGGCCTCTGCCGGCCAGCCGGGAGCGGCGCGGCGGAACCGCGTCCTTCGTTTGCCGCCGGGCCGCGATCAGTTGGAGCACGCTTGGCTTGGAGGGTGCAGATTGCAGCAGGCATGTTAGTTAGAGAAAGCGGATAAAAACACTCGCTCTCCACATTCCTCGAAAACAGAGAGATGAATTCTAAGATACTCGCCCCTCTAGAGAGAAAGAAACACGTCCGGACTGCGGGAGCGCCGGGTCCCCGCCCTCACTCCGCCGCCCCCCCTGCCTGGAGCCCCGGGGCCGCTCCTTCCGAGACCTGACGTGCACGACAGCATGCTTCCTCTCCTCGTCCTGGGCGCGAGCGCTGCGTGGGCACCGGCACATTCGGCGGCGCGTGGTTGGCGTGCGTCGCAGCCACTGCTCTCAGCCGACCTGCCACGCACGCCCAAAGCAATGGTGGATCAGCTTCGCGACGCGGTGCAGTCGGCGCTGAGCTCACGCTGCTCGCGGATGAGGGTGAGCCTCCCGCCCGGATTCGACTACGGGATCGAGTCACAGCGCAAGGGCACACCCGTCTCGAGCAAAATCGACCGCTCGGATCGCGAGCTCGCACGCCTCTTCGTCGAGATGTTCCAGGGAACGGGGCTCGTGCCGACGGTCTGCTTCCCTTCCTCCGCGGCCGCGGCCGACGCACGGAAGCTCTGGGGCGACATCGAGGCGCGCGTGGTCGCGCTCGACCCGGAGAGCGCCGGGACCGCTGCGCCGGCGAAGCAGCCTCGGCCGCGGAGCAAGGCTCAGCGCGCCAGCAGCGGCGGCGGAGGCTTTGGCGCCGCCAAGCCAGCCTCGGGCGCACGGGTGCAAAAGGCGGTGGCGGCCGTGCCTGCGAGCGCAGAGGTTGTGCTCGTCGTGGCGCCCGGCGGCCCGGGCTGCGAGGCGGTGCGCTCCTTTTGCGAGGAGAACGGTGCTGACCGGCTCGTTGTGCTGCTGAACGCGCGGAGCCTCGAGGAGGAGGCCGACCCTGCGGTCGCCGCCGCGGCCGGGGTGGGCACCGCTGGGGAGGAGCAGCGCGAGTACGTGGACGGAGAGTTCGCAAACGTCTACGCCTTCGTCACCGACCCCGCCGGCAAGTCCGAAGACGCACCTGCAGTGCTCTTCAAGCGCTCCGCGGCGGAGGAGTGGAGCCTCGTCTCCAAGCCGAAGGTCGGCCCTCCGCGAGAACTGCTCGCCAGCGACGAGCGGCCGAGCGCAGAGGCGATGCGGGCGGCGCTCGACGCCTCGGCGGCCGGCGGCTTGCTCGGTGCCATCAGCAGCGCGCTCGGTGGGTGATGCGGGCCGAGTCGAGGCTGCTTCAGCCACACGTATTAGTCCCATGGGCTTTGAGAGGGCCTAGCCCCTGGCGCAGCTTATATGTCGCAGCCCTGCGGCGTGTCTACTAAGTACGTCGTGCACTCACACGTCACGCCCCCCCCGACCGCCGAATCCCTAGCGCACCTATACTCCAGTCTCCAGCCGAATTCCTGGTTCCTGTCTCGCGCTGTCTGCCGCACCGCACGGCAGTCGGAATGGTTGGGTAGTAGGGCTAGAGGGTCGCTCTACACTTAGCCTCTGCAGCGAGCGAGCGCTCAACTTAGCTCCCACACGGAGCCGGGCTCGGACTTAGACGCTGTATGGTCGGGGGCCACGAACTTAGACGACATAAGGCCAACTCCGGGCAAAACCCGGGTATACCTGAAAAGCCTCCAGGTTTACCCGAAAATACCTGGACGCGTCCCGACCAACGTATGCCGCGCACGACGCCATATCGCCTTCTCCCAGGGCCAGTGCGCTACTTGCGGCGCGCAACGCCTGCTCAAGTACCCCCCCCACCATGTGCTGCCGCTATGCGTGCCTTAAGGCGGCTGCGGCGAAGCGGCGGGCGCGGCATGCCGATGGCAGTGCGGACGATGCGGTTGCGATGTGTTCTGCTTCAAGATCGTGGCGGTGCTTGGCATGCACTTCTGCGATCCCAATCAGCTCATCGCAACGAAGCAGAGCAACAAGCTGGCTGCTGCCAACAAGGCCCTATGCTACCTCACGCGCGGATCGTTCAAAGAGGACCAGCACACACAGGCTTCACGCCTTCACCGTCACGCATTTGATTAAGCTTGAGGAGCTTCGTGTCATGTGAGAACTGTTTGGCTAGACGTCGCTCAAGAATGAAGGAGCAGCAACGAAAGTCGAAAGAGGAGGATGCTGAAGCGGCGATTGCTAAGCATGAAGAGGATCGATCGCCCGCCGCAGGCGAAGAAAATTTGGGGGCTGCGCCGTATCGTTGATCACGGTGGGAGCCTCCTGGCCCCAGGCCGTGCCACGGCCGACTTAGCCGATGTAAGAGGCTCCCGCTGATCTTAGACCGCGCAAGCACTCCAGCGTGGCTAGCCACACTTAGACCCGTCCAGCCTCGAGGCTCAGAACTTAGACTACTACCCAACCAGTGCAGTCGGCACACGTGTCCGATATACCACGCGACACACTGGCTGTGTCGGCCTCGCACGGCACATGGCCCCAGCGGCCTAGGCGCGTGCGCGGGGCGGCTGTACGTTAACAGTACACCCACATCCCGCCCAGATCCACCAATCGCCCACAGAAACAATAAAACTATCCGCCAACCGCCGGGCATCGCCCACATCCCAGCTAGCTGCATCCCAGCAGGCAAATAGAGCTCGTCCCATCACACCCGCCGTCGGTGCGCGTCACAAGGACGAGATTGGCCTCGAGCGCATCCAGCCGTTGATTGCATCTGCGCGGCAGCACATCGGAGACCAGCTGAGTGTCAGGGCCGCGGCCGGGCAGGGGAGGGACGGAAGCGCTCACATTTCACGGCGCCGCCCGATGGCTCGATGCCTTCGTGCAGCGTCCTCTCGTCTGGCTCGCCGTTGCGGAGGCAGTTGTCGAAGACCAGTGCAGCGAGCGGCGTGGGCGGCACGGTGATGTTGAGGCGCGGGAAGTTGGTGTCGCCCCCCGCCGCGACGTCGGACAGGTAGATGAGGAAGGTGAAGTGGCGGTTCCCTCTGTACCACGTCTCGCACGCCTACGGCCCCCGCGGGCCAAGTCATACGGGCTGGCGCTCGCCGGTGCCGCCTCTCGAGAGGGGGGTGCGTTGTAAAAGTCGTGGTGCGGCCGGTAGAACTCGCCGCCGCGGTACCGCACGGTCTGGAGGGGCTCGAGGTTCGCCTCGGGGTAGCCGGAGTACCGCGCGATGCGCCGCCGCACCGCAGCGACGTCCGAGTTGGAGGAGGGCAGCGTGGCGGAGAAGGAGGTCCGCTTGTCGTCGCCGGTGGCGCGGGCGGTGGAGGAGCGGTGGTAGAGCGGCTCGGAGAGGGCGATGAGTGCGGCCGCCTGCAAGGGGAGATTGTATCTCGGAGATTGTATCTCGGAGAGGGCGATGAGTGCGGCCGCCTCGTCGGCGGTCACAAAGTCGTGCAGCAGGCGCACGCGCGGCGTCGCGGAGATGGTCTCGAGGCGCGGGACGCTCGGCTCAGGCGCGGGGCCGGCTGTGCTCGACGCGTCGAGCACGCCCTCCGTCACCCACGCCTCGAGGCTGCGCGCCGCGTCCCGCCCGGGCACGGCGGCCGCCTCCTGCCGCCGCTGCCTCTCCTACGCGACACGTCGCGGACGCGTCCCGGACGCGCCTCGGACAGCCCCTCCCCCGCCGCCGCGTGCTCTCCTCGGCGTGTCGCCGCTCCGACTCGGTGAGCGGCGGAGGGCGGGGGGAGAGGGGGTGGCGAGAGCGGGGGCACGAGGGGCGGTGCCGTGCCCAGGGAGTCCGCGCCCTCCAGGGGCACACCCCGGACAGGAGGGAGAGGGCGCGACTGGCGGAGCAGCGGGCCGGCCCGCGGGACTGCCTCGGCGGATCGAGGAGCGGCGAGGAGCGAGTGAGCGGCCGGGTGGCGGTGTGCGAGGTGGAGGGCGGGTCGAGCAGGTGGCACGACAGCGAGCACGCCGACAGCGCGGCATGCGCTCGCCATGCCGCGCCGCCTCCGCCTCTGCACTCGCCCCGCAGCGCCCGCTCGGTGCAGTCGCCAGCCCGGTCGCGGCTGAGCGGGCACTCGAAGGGCTCGGAGCAGGCGTCAGAGGCCGGGTCTGCGGCGCACGCGCGGAGCTTGGAGCAGCTCCGCGGACAGCTGCTCTCCATCCACGCTGGGTTGGCGTCGCACTCTCCGTCGGTCGCCCAGTACCAGCAGTTGCCCTCTCGGTCTGGCGTCCAGCTGGCGCTGAAGTTCAGGAAGCACGCACTGCCGCAACGGGCCAGCACGGGCTCGGAGCGGCAGCCGGCGCCGGCGATGAGGCCCGCACACTCCTCCAGCTCGCGCTTCTCGCGGCCGGCCACCTCGCACGCGGCCGCACAGTTCTGCAGCATAAAGGTCGGATTGGAGGAGCACTCACCCGCGTCTGCCCAGACCGTGCACGAATCGCCGCCCGCCGGGGTGCGGGATGCAGCCGGCAGCGCGGCGAGGATCGGCGCGAGCGGCATGCCCCCGGCCCACTCTCCTCCGGAGCAGCAGCGGCGGCGGCGGCGGAGAGAGCTAGAGGGGGTGTGGTGGAGACAGACGAGGAGAGAGCGAGAGCGCGTGGAGGAGAGCGGGCGCGAGTTTTCCGCGGGCTTGTAAGATAAAGAATTTGCGCGCCAGATTTCCCCCCCCTAGCTCTTCTCGGGATACCTCAAGCTCTTCTCGGGGGATCGGTTTTCATGCGCGGCCTACACCTTTCTCTTTTCACCACGCGGCTGGGCCACGGAGACGAAGAGCTATCCTGAGCACGCTTCCCGATGCCGCCGACGCAGCAGGAGGCGGAGGCGGCGATCCGCACACTCATCGAGTACATGGGCGACGACCCGAACCGCGAGGGGCTCAAGTCGAGCCCTCGCCGCTCGGCGAAAGCACTGCGCTTTCTGACTGCTGGGTACGGGGTCGATGTGGAGGTGCACACGCTACAAAAGGGTGGTGCGGCTGCCGTGACATCCACTGCCGAGCCGCAGCCCGCGCCGCCTGGCCGCAGGCGCTCGCGAGCCAGGCCCTCTTCTCCGTCGGCGAGTCGAGCGACGAGGAGCTCGAGGAGGATCACGGCGCCGCCGCAAGCGGGACCGCCGCCAACGGCACGTCTTCCGACGGCGTCGCCGCCAACGGCACGTCCGCCGAGAACGGCACGCCGGGCGTCAGCAGCGCGGTTCCCGTGCCGCGACCGATGCAAGGCTCAGGCCTGGTGGAGGCGGCCGGCCGCAGGCGGGGCGGCGGCAGCGCGCCTTCTCGGGCGGGACGCGTGGCGCCTGTCCGCGTGTAGGTGAGCGGCATCGAGATCTACTCCCTCTGCGAGCACCACCTCCTGCCCTTCTTCGGCACGTGCCGCATCGCATACCTGCCGAGCCGCAAGGAGCGCTGCTCTGCATGGGGAGGGACTGGGTCTGGGGCAGGGACTGGGTCTGGGGCAGGGACTGGGTCTGGGGCAGGGACTGGGTCTGGGGCAGGGACTGGGTCTGGGGGGGGGACTGGGTCTGTCAGGGTGAGGAGGGTGGAGCTATCGCAGCCTCCCTCGCGCGTGACTCGAGCGTGCGTGCCACCGCGGACCTTGCCCTTCGCTGCTGCTGCTCGCTCTCGGCCTCCGCCCCACCCCACACCCCGCACCTCCCCAGGTGGTCCCCCGCACCTCCCGCAGGTGGTCGGCCTCTCGAAGCTCGCTCGCGTCGCAAACGCCTTTGCGCGCCGGCTCCAGATCCAAGCGCGCACCGGCGCCTCGGTGGCGGCCGGAGCCGCGCCCACTCCCCGACCGCGGCTCCCACCCTCGCGCCGCAGGAGCGGCTGACGCAGCAGATTGCAGAGTCGCTCTGGAAGGCGGCCGCGAGCACCCTCGCCGCCCCGTGCACGCTCGCCCTTCCTCCCGCCAGCAGTGCCCCTCCCTCGCCCGGCAGGTGCTGCAGCCTCGCGGGATCCGGGTGGTGCTCGAGTGCACGCACATGTGCATGTCGATGCGCGGCGTCCAGCAGCCCAGGGCCGTCACCGCCACGTGAGTCGCGCTGCCCTGCCTCGCCCCGGGCGCGGAGGCGGATCGACGGCGCGCCACGCTGCGAGTAGGCGGACCGAGCTCGGCTGGCTTCCGCCCGAGCCGGGGGCGTACAACAGGGGCTGGGAGCAGGTTGGCTGCCCATGCGGCGCGAGGCATTAGTGGCAGGTACAACTTCGCTCGCAAGCGGCCAGACCCCCCCTCTCTCCGATGCGCTTGCTGCGCTAACGGCTACTCTGCTGGACTTTGCGGGGCGCGTCAATTCGCGTCCACCCCGCCGCTGGTTTTGGCCCGCGAGGCGGATTCGTTGCGCGGCGGCCGCACGCCGAGCGTCCCCTCGGGCTTTCTCGAGTTTCACTCGATCGTGCCCATTCACTTGTTTTCAGTCGAGATACGTTCCTCGCTCGCCGTCGTCCCGTGTGTCCGTGTAACGTACTCTGCCACAGCTTATTCAATAAGTTATGACCCTCTTCCCTCTCAACTGGAGATCTCGAGCGCGACTTCGCGACTGCGGACTGGCGTGTGGCGATATCTCGTGCCACCGCAGGGTCCGCAGCACGACCTGTTCGGAGGTCGGGTGCTCCCCAAGCCCCAAACGCGCAACGGATAAACTAAGCCGTAATCCTAATCGGTCCCGACCACAGTGCGAACGTGAGACACAGATGGTGGCTGAGACATGGCCATGGGGTGCACATCGGGAAAGTGGGTGAATGCGCGAACCCGGTGGGGCACTCTGGTGGGGCAGTGCGCGCGGGTCGTGGACGCTGTTCATGCCCGCAGCGAGGGCGCGTGGAGCCGGAGCCTGTCCCGCACACTCAGCCGCGGCGCTCAGACTTGCGCCCAGGCGCCGCCTCAGCCGGTGCGGCGTCCGCAACGGCAGGCGCGGCGGCGGCCGGCGCGGCGGCGGCCGGGGCGGGTTGGCGCGCCGCCTGCGCCTCTTCGACGAGCCATGTGGGGATGGCGTTCCAGATGGGCCGGCCGTAGGGGTCGTTTCCGAACTCGTCGCATCGGGGTCGGCCGAGGTCGTCGCGGAAGAGGAGGGCGCCGCGCGCGAGCTCGCCTGCATGGGGGGGAGGGGGA